TATATATATATATATATATATATATATATACATATATACAGTATATATACTGTGTGGCCTTGTGAAAGATGAATGTCACCTTGACTTTTTATGTCAGTTATGGATACAGAGGACGGGACTGTCGGGACAACCTTGTCTTCCTCCCTACGGGGGAGGCCATGTACTTCATCGCCTGTGTCATCGTGCTTTACCACATCAACAACAGATCACAGCGGCATTACAACAAGCACACAGACTGTGTCCGCTGGTCAGTCCACGGTCATGTTATATAGAACGGAAAGTGCCTGAACATTTTAACGAAGTCAAAGTTTGCAGTATCTCTGTTGATGCCTTAGACCTTTTTTTGAGCCACGACACTTACTTTATATTAGAAAAATCCCAGTATTCACCACCACACAAACACTCACTTTCAGTCACTTACTGTTTACTAACTCACTGTAAGTAAATAAAAGTGAAGCCTGTTTAGTTGAATAAGACGCTTATAGTTTCGCCAAAATTGAGCCGAGTGCAAAGAAGAGAATTAATCATTCAGCCTGTCACTGTCGCACAGACCAACAAAGACAAATTAATTGCAGTAAATAAATAACAATAAATAAATACCTTAATAAATAAAAAAAACACATCTTATCCCCTTTAAAATGAAAAAAAAAATTGTATAATAATACGTTTGTACTATGAAGTATCGTTATGTTTGCAGTAATCATAATCTGTTTCCGCAGTCTTGCGCTTCATCCTGACAAAGTACGAGTGGCTTCTGGACAGACAGCAGGGGTCGACAAAGACGGCAAGGTGACTAGTGATCTGACATCAATGATGACCTAACAAATGCTGCCTAGAAAATGTTATTATAATCATTATATTATAATCATTATATCAGGATATTTGATATTGGCTTCATGGTAGTTCCCTTAGCTCAAGGGTGTCATTTGGGTTCAGGGGACCTTTAATAACAATAAGTACATATTTATTCCCCTCTTGTTTTCCTGCAAATAAATACAAGATTATTAGAAAATGTTCATATTTCATGAAATGTAATTTGACAAAACATCATGAACATAAACAGTTTGTGTATTTTTTTTTCACTTTCGAAATCCATCAAGTGCGCTGGATCGAACCCACTGGCGGGTTGGTATTGGCTCGCGGGCTGTATGTTTGGTACCGGTGCTTTAGGTCTTTTGCTAACAATGCTAGCCCAAGCAGCTACATTAATGTGAGCTAAACATGTTGCCTACGTTACAATAACGTTACAATAAAGTGGCTAATTTTACATAAATATGTTGCAGTCCCTGGAAAAAGGGTTATTGTTAAGTTATTTATGGGATCTTTTTTTTACTTTGATATATGGACAGACCATAACATTTAATTTCAAAATATTTACGTTACACAACACAAAACAAAAGAACTTTAGCTTTATTTTAAAAAGTTGATATATATTTTATTTATTTAATTTGTTTAATTTATAGCTTTTTCAAAAATAGGAGGTAGATTGATTATAAGGACAATCATTGTATATCATTTTTTTATGTAACCAACGTTACAACATTTTCATTGACAAGACTATATTTGTGTCTGTGTGTGTGTGTGTGTGTGTGTGTGTATGCCGTAGCCGCTTAAAAACTGTGTTCATATCTGGGACTCCACCACCCTGGTCACTCTACAACAGATTGGCCTGGGAACCTTCCAGAGAGGAGTGGGATCGGTTGCATTTTCTTTCTTTGTGAGTTCATCTGAATAATAATAATAATAATAATTAAAAAACGTAAATGTATCTCCATTGTAAATTTGTCTTTGTACCAATGAAATTGTAAAAAAGAGCGTAGCTTTTTTTAACATGATACACATTAAGAAGTAAAAAAATTGACATTAGCATATGTAGCAGACTGGCTAGGCTAGATTCCTTTAAAGTGCTTTTGAGTTTGTTTGTTTGTTTTTCTTTTCGTTATTTTTACACTGACAGCCACTAGAGGGCGCTCTAGACTTGTGTACCATTATCTGCAACTCCTGTAATTCGCACTTTTTTTCTTCATCCTTTGGCTGGTGCGACTTATACTCCGGAGCGACTTACAATCCGGAAAATACGGTAGTTGTTAAAATACGGACATCAATTGGTCTTATGTGATTTCCAGGACTCTGGGACGTTCCTGTGTGTGATCGATGATTCCAACGAGCACATGATGTCAGTCTGGGACTGCAATAAAGGCACCAAGCATGCAGAGGTTAAGGTAATGAAATCTCTATGTCTGCATTTTAGGTGAACATTCTGAATGGGTACAACCTTGAGTGTTTTTGTTAAAATGGCTGACTGTGAATATCTAGTAATATATATATAGTAATATATCAACTATCCATCTATCCATCTATCCATCCATCTATCCATCCATCCACCCATCTATCCATCCATCCATCCATCCCCCCCCCCATCCACACACCCATCCATCCATCCATCCATCCATCCCTCTATCTATCTATCCATCCATCCATCCATCTATCCACCCATCCATCCATCCATCCATCTATCCACCCATCCATCCATCCATCCATCTATCTATCCATCCATCCATCCATCTATCCATCTATTCATCTATCCATCCATCCATCCATCCCCCCCCCCATCCACACACCCATCCATCCATCCATCCATCCATATATCCATCCACCTATCCATCCATCCATCTATCCATCCATCCACCCATCTATCCATCCATCCATCCATCCACCCACCCATCCATCCACCCATCCATCCATCCATCCATCTATCTATCCATCCATCCATCCATCTATCATCCATCTATCCATCCATCCATCCATCTATCCACCCATCCATCCATCCATCCATCCATATATCCATCCATCTATCCATCCATCCACCCATCTATCCATCCATCCATCCATCCAACCATCTATCCATCCATCTATCCATCCATCCATCCATATATCCATCCACCTATCCATCCATCCATCTATCCATCCACCTATCCATCCATCCATCTATCCATCCACCCATCCATCCATCCATCCATCTATCTATCCATCCATCCATCCATCTATCATCCATCTATCCATCCATCCATCCATCCATCCATCCGTCCATCCATCCTAATGGCATTCAGTCCATGAAAAGGTTGTTCTTGGCATTGGGTGGTTTTATTTTTTTCGACAATAAAACAACAAAATAATTCTTGATAATAAAACCAAAAGCGCCTTTTCCCCTTTTTTTGTGTTAGGAAAAGTAGAATTCAACAACAGGTTGTCCCCCGTTTCCATTCCTCAGGTCTGAATGTTGTACACTGCACAAAGTTTGGTTGCGTGATTTAGATTGCTCAATCTGTAAAGTAAAAGTGAAGTAAAGGCTCATCCTAAACCTGATCTGGTGTGTGTGGTGTGACATGATGAGACACAGATTGTTGTCTCTAACTTTAACTCGCCAAGGGATCAAAACTTCCGGAGTTTGTGAACGAGTGCTTAACACTGGTTTCGAGCTCCTCACAAAGAAGGTCTGTTTGGACAGATTACGGGGTGGGCAGTGTGTTTCTTCTCTGCTTTTGTGGGCCCAAAGCACCACAACTTCCCTGAGACTAAATCCAACACGGTTGCCATGGCAACGGTGTCAATATTTTGTATATACAGGGAATTTGTCCAACTGTGTGTAGAGAGGTATACACACACACACGTGTGTGTGTATGTGTGTGTGTGTTTAATATAGTAACAGGAAAACATAGGGCCTGCGAGGGCTTGCAAATCAGGACGTTAATGGACTTGAAATGTACAGTATATGTTACAGCATGCAGGTGTCTGTCTTTGTCCCTAACATGTGTCATGCATCTGTACAGGCAAGATGGTCCCTGGTGGGGAGTAACTGTGCCAGTTGTTAACATATGGCACACATTTTGCGTGTGCGCTGCCGTGCACTGTATAAACACATGAGCATCGGGCAGGAATATGATAATTACGCTCCCACCCTCGGCGGTCTCCACATGTCTCAGTGCTCAGTGAGGTCATGAATGGAGCTTCTTGTGTTTAAAAAAAAAAAAAAGGGAAAAAAAAGAATGATGCCTTGTACAAACTATACTTTATTAATCACAAAATGACATAAAATCCTTCATAGTTGTCTCCAGATTTCTGTTTTTTTTTTTCGATTGTTGCATATGGAACTAAAGCAGTACTCAAATAGTGGGGCGGGCCGCGGTGAGATGCCAATGGAATATGGCACGCTGGACATAAGTGTACCACTGCTGTAATGCTTGAATGATGGACAGGCCTCCAGTCCACTAGGTGGCAGCAACTCATACAGTGGTTTGTACAGATAAAAAATATATACGTTATCAGGTTCTCAATAGTTTTTCCATTTGCAATGGTGGTGGGTTGGAGGGAGAAGAGGTATGGGGAGGCGTGAAACATTTCTGTCCCCAGCAGGGGGCATGACCACTGAACTAAAGCAACTTTACTATGCTATGCTGCTAATGGTTTTGTTGCTGATTTGTTTTTTACTTTTAACTACAATCGTTCTTACTTCCTATGAATGAACATTAAAAATAGACAAATAGAGTGGTACCAAGGAGCCGCCCCATTATAGGTCTCCATTTTGTCAACATCAGAACAGGAATCCGATGGTTGTGGTTCCCAGCCTATTCTGGCTTGCGACCCCCATTTTGACGTTTTTTTTTTGTTTTGTTTTTTTCAATCATGTGATTGTAGCTGTCAAAGATGATATTTTTATATGATGCATTTTGTTTGAACTTGATTCATATTCATGAAAGTGGATGAATAGAATTGTTTGAGATTGTGTGTGGTGTTTTTATTAATAATAATAGAAATAATAGAAAGAATAATAATTAGTAGAAAAAAAAACATTTTAGTTCAGTTTTTTTTTCAGGCTACCCAATTTGAATTCCAGGTTGAAAAACAAGATTGAAAAACATGTTAGGAAAACACTTGGGAAATCATCACCTCGGATCCTTGAAAACCTGGAAAACTTGACAAATTGTCCAGTCATGGTCACCATATGGAAAAAAAACCAACCCTCAAAAGTCTTCAAAAATGCTTAAATTATCGTGGAAAAAAATGTTTCCTTTTTTCTGTCTTAATCAGACGATATGGAAGAACATCGTATTTCTGCTTCCAACTGGTCTAACGCCCCACATGACGTTGCCAGCCAAACAAATTAACATGTCACCTCAGAGCAGCTCTTTAGTTTCCATTCGAATTTAGAGCTTGATTTAGCCTCTTCTCAGACCCGATTGCTGGAATTGGTCCTTGATGTAGTGTCGCTCTGTCTCGCATTTACAGGGTCCTCTTTGTCCTCGTTGAGAACTAAACATAGAAGGAATCTAGATGAAAACACAACATGTACGACTGTAGAACATAATACTTTTCAACGCATTAGACAGACAGGGCCTAAGCACCAGTGGACAATGTAAGTGTCCTGGAAAAGGCCTGGAAAATACTGTTAAAGAGTGGAAACCCTGATCACTGACGTTTGGGAGAGTCGTGGGAGGATGCAGGAGTTAAATGATGACCGGGGAGGGAAGAGAAGAAGAAAGGACACACGGGAAGATAAAACTCTGCTGTTTTTTACTTTTCACCCTTTACAACATTGAGTTTGAAGCATTTTTTCCCCCCAATGCCTTCTTATATGGGTTGCCAGTTTGTGCTGTTTCTTCTGTGTTAAAGGTCTCTTTGTGTGTCTGTGTTTAGAGCACCAACGAGACTGTGTTCGCTGTGGGCTTTGATCCAGAAAACAGCACCAAAATCATCACCTGTGGTAAATCCCACGTCTACTTCTGGACGCTGAGCTCAGGACAGTTCACCAAGAAACAAGGCATATTTGGAGTAAGAACATCCCCGGCTTATTCTGTTTGTAATTTATTTCGCTAATTTCATTTAGAATGTAATTCTTGGGACTAGAGTTTATTTTTCGTTTTTCTCCGTTTGCTGGTTTCAAGAAAAATGTCTTTTTGATTAGCTTGTTTATGCCTAGTGGGGGAGGGGGGGGACATAAGTGTACCACTGCTGTGATGCTTGAATGATAACAAGCCTCCAGTCCACTAGGTGGCAGCAACTCAAACACTGATTTGTACAGATAAAAACATACATGTTATTTTTGTACAGATAAAAATCATACATGTTATCAGGTTCTCAATAGTATTTCAATTTGAGGGGGTGTGGGTCGGGAGGGGGCGTGAAAACGTTTCTGTCCCCAAGGGGGCGCATGACAGAAAATAATTGAGAACCACTGGTCTAGGCTACGCAAGCATTGGTGGTTCAGTGGTAGAATACATGCCAGCTTTGGTGGTTCAGTGGTAGATTTCTCGCTTGCCATGTGGGAGGCCTGGGTTCGATTCCCAGCCAATGCATTTCTAGTTTCCGTTAGTTAGTGAAGAACTCTTAAGGGGTTAATAACGTTCTATCTATTTAACTTCAGAGAGTAGGGAAACCTCTAGCATCCTTTGAGCAGTACCAATTTTTCCCTATTCAAATATATTTCCCAGGGCTGCATAAAATGGCAATATTCAAATTTTTTTTTTTGGGTCAACAGTAAAAAACATTTCTTTTACTAACAACTGTTTCATTTCACCTTTAGAAATACAAGAAACCCAAGTTCATCCAGTGCTTTATGTTCAGTTTAACTGGAGAAGTTCTGACTGGAGACTCTGAGGGAAACATCATCAGATGGGGAAAGTCTCCCGCTGATGTCAAGACTCTGGGCAAAGGAGCCAAAGGTCAGTGCTGGGAAGGCTTAGCATTACATTTTTACTCCACCGTACAGATAGTTTAGTGGATAAATATGACTAGAACCAAACCACTGAGTATAAAAAATTCAAATACAGTTCTGAGGATCTTAATATATGGCACCATGTGATCGATACAGGAAATTAAGTAAAAATCTTAGACATGCACCTTCAGCTTTTTGTCGTCAAAAAAGTGTCGTCATCGACAAAATGTTGAAACTTGACTTGCCTGCCTGCGGTCTAGATCTCTCTTCTGTTACGAGTGCGTGTACACCAATAACATATGCAACAAAAAATTCCAATTTATTTAAATTTCAATACAATTTAAAGCAGTGTTTTCCAACCTTAGGGTTGCGACCCCATGTGTGGTCACCTAGAATTCAAATGTGGTCGCCCTAAAATATTCTAGTACTTGATACAAAATGTACTGATAAAATATGTTTAAATAAAATCCACTGTATAAAATTATCTAAGATGTTAGGAACCAGTGATAATTTTGGTCCTCTCACAATTTTCAAGTTTATCTTCTTCTTCTTTTTCTTTCGGCTTTGTCCCTTTTTTTTTCAGGGGTTGCCACATCAAATCATTGATTTCCATCTCTCCCTGTTCTCTGTATCTTCTACTCTGACTCCAACTATCTGCATGTCCTCCCTCACTGCATCCATATATCTCCTCTTTGGTCTTCCTCTATTGATTTCCATCTCTCCCTGTTCTCTGTATCTTCTACTCTGACTCCAACTACCTGCATGTCCTCCCTCACTGCATCCATATATCTCCTCTTTGGCCTTCCTCTCTTTCTCCTACCTGGTAGCTCCATCTCTAACATTCTTCTACCAATGTATCCACTGTCCCTCCTCTGCACATGTCCAAACCATCTCAATCTGGCTTCTCTAGCTTTTTCTCCAAACCTTCCTGTCTGTGTTGTCCCTCTAATGACCTCATTCCTGACCCTGTCCATTCTTGTCACTCCTAAAGAGAATCTTAGCATCTTTAACTCTGCCACCTCCAGCTCCACCTCCTGTCTTCTGCCTATTGCTAGTGTCTCTAATCCATACATCATGGCTGGTCTCACCACCGTCCTGTAAAGCTTTCCCTTCACCTTAGCTGACACTCTTCTGTCACAGATCACTCCTGACACTTTTCTCCAGCTGTTCCATCCTGCCTGTACTCTATTCTTCACCTCTCGTCCACAGTCTCCTCTGCTCTGTACAGTTGATCCTAAGTACCTAAACTCCTGCACCTTCACCACCTCTGCTCCTTGTGACCTCACTATTTCACTGTTCTCCCTTTCGTTTACACACATGTACTCTGCTTGTACAATTTTCAAGTATATCACAAGGGTCAATTTTTTAAACTGCTCAGTGTTTAAGTGTATTGAGGAGTCAAATGGACTATGAGGGACTGTAGGCTCATTATTATCATTGGGGACACTGGCTTTACCAAAGTTTTGAAAGAAACTCTCGGCCCAGTCTACAAACCACTGTTACAGTATACAGCGATGCCTAAAGTCCACCAACTCTATAGAGCTAAGTTTCGAGTTGTACTTTTGTATCCTTTTTTTTTTTGACATTTTCCCATATTAATAATTGGATTCATCACAAACAAAACACATACATATACCTGCTGTTTTTATTTGTCTTTCTTCCACTGATAAAAAATAGTCGCATGTTTCCTCCTTTTACAGAGACTTTCCAGATAATGCGTCAAACCAAAGCTCACGAAGGCAGTGTTTTCACCCTGTGCAAGCTCCAGGGTGGGGCGCTGCTGAGCGGAGGAGGCAAGGATCGCAAGATCATCCGCTGGAGTGCTGACCTGGCACCAGAGAGAGAGTGTGAGGTGAACCACAGCTGTGTGTGTGTGTGTGTGTGTGTGTGTGTGTGTGAGAGAGATGGCTCTGCTTTGTGAGGTAATAATAGGAAAGACCTACTAATATAGATTATCTGTGCAGATCCCGGAAAAGTTCGGAGCCGTTCGCACCCTCGCCGATGTGGACGGGGAAGAGCTGTTGGTCGGTACCACGCGTAACGCCATCCTCAGAGGAACTTTCGCCGACGGATTCATGGCTATAGTGGAGGTGCGTATAAGTACCTGAGCAGTTAGCGCTACAGTTGACGTTGAGATGGTCTTAGTTACATCATAAAGCAGTGATCATCAACTTGCGGCCCACGGGCCGGACTTGAGACCCCTGTCATAAAGGTTCATTTGTCGGTTTACTTAATGTTGAGGAGAGGCAGCTTTAAAGAGACCTCTTGGTCTCTGCACACAATTTTAAATTTTCTCTGTTTAGAATATATGAAAATGTTAGAACAGAAAATGTCTAGAGATGATGAGCAGCCTCGACTTCTCGATCTTCATCAGCTTAAAAATGTAAATACTGAAATGCCTTCAGGTTCATTTAAATACTGTTCTTGTAATAAGGGATAAGCTTGATAAGATTTTTTTTTACATGTTCCTTACCTTAGCTGCGGATGCTAAGTCCATAGATTCCCTGTTTACAGCATGCATTTCTAGTTTACTAGCGTCAAGTTTAGCATTCTGGCTGTGGTATTGGATTGGACGAGATATAGTTTTTTTTTTTTTTTTTTTTTTTTTCTTTTTTTTTTTTTTTCCCTATCGGACTAATGCCAATCCTCAGTATCGGAACACGCTGTCCCTGTTTATAATACATTTACAGTAATACCGCGAGATGCGAACGTCCCGACATACGAGTATTCCGAGATATGAGCAAGCTTTCGAGCAAATATTTACTTCGAGGTACGAGGAAAGATTTGAGATATGAGCACGCTCTTAGACGCCGCCGCTAGGTGGCCGAGCACTCGCAGCAGCCCACACCGCCTCACTCGTTCACATCCGTACGAATCTCCCGCGAGTCTACCATATTGTCTACGTTATTATCTACGCGATTTTCTCTCTATTTTGTGCATTATTCTTCATAATAGCGACGAGTCTAAGAGAGTGAGTGGTAAGGATGGTGGTGAGAAGAAGAAACGCATGATGACCATGGAAATAAAGCATGAAATTGTTGATAAATATGAGCGAGGTGCCTGCTAAAAAAAGAATAGAAATCGAAAAAAAAAGGAAATTTAAAATAAAAAATTGAAAAATAAAAAAAAAGTAAGCTAAGTTATGTAGTGGACGTGTAAGGTCCGGTACCCCTTCCTCTCTCCTCCTCCTCCTCCTCCGCACATGCCTCCATTAGCCGCTACTGTATCGTCTGTCTCAAAGGTATGAACTCATAATTAAAACCACTTTATTATTTTTTTTTGTCTGTCTCTCTGTGTTTTTCCATTGTTTTTAGCACTAATAAGAAATTAATAAATTTAAAAACATGTTTTTACCATTGTTTTTAGCACTAATAAGGGAGTTTTTTTTAGAGGGCCGGAACGGATACATTTTTTTTCTGTTGATTCTTATGGGAAAAAAATGATTTGAGATCTCGAATTCTTATGAGAAAAAATTATTTGAGATCTCGAGTTACGAGCTCGGTCCTGGAACGAATTATGCTCGTATCTCAAGGTATTACTGTATTTACAGTTACTTACTTGAAAGAACAAGTCCCTGAGAGAGGCTTTTCCCCTGTTAACTTTAGGGTCATGTGAATGAGATGTGGGGGCTGGCCACTCACCCCTCCCAAAACATCTTCCTCACATGTGGCCACGACCGGCAGGTGTGTTTGTGGAACACAGAGGAACACAAGCTGGACTGGTGCATCAGCCTGGAGGTGACGTCGCAATTTTTCTGCTTTGGTGACTTTATTCCCTTATGATCAATAGGAGCTGCGTTTCTAATCTGTGTCATTTCTCTCACAGGAGTATGGGCAGTGTGCAGATTTCTGTCCAAACGGTTCAGTCGTTTCAGTTGGCCTCAGCACAGGAAGGTAAATAAACTCAAGGCTACATCCATATACTTGTGCTTTTTTTAAAAAATGTATTCTGCTTCATATACATTTCCTATTTTCACATTTTTCATTTTTCTATCCATACTTCCCATTGGTGCAGGGAACAGTTTTGCACAGTTTTAGTTTAAAAACCACTCCCTTTAAACAAAAATATTACACTGACTGTGAAAAATGACTCTTCCAAAAAAATGTTATTTAAATGAATTTAACTGTTGACATACTCAGCCCGAAACCGGAGCCTGTTTATACGGAAATATATACTAAAGACATACTCACAGGAATTGAAGAAAGACACTCAAAGATATTATTCTTTTTTTTTTTTTGGTCTCTCGTTTTTTTTTTTTGTTCATATAGCCATCTGCTGTCACCTAGTGGAAGAATATTTTATTGTTCTTTTTATGGATGACACTAGAGCAGGGGTGTCAAACTCATTTTCACCGGGGGCCACATCAGCAATACAGTTCCTGTTAAAGGGCCGGTTGTAAATGACTATATAGATCAGGGGTGGCCCAACCCCTGATCTGCAGACCAATACCAGTCCATAGGTCATTTGGTAGCGGGCTGCAGTGGGACACGGTTAAAAAAAAATTCCATATTTTTTCTCATTTACTTTATTCAAAGAAAATCTTTTCTTTATTTAAAGATGATGTGGCAATATTTTAAAATTTTATAACATTTCATTCAGACTCTAGTACAAACAGAATAGTGTCTGAAAGATTTTTTATTTTTAAAATTTAATGATCCTTCAATGCTCAGCAGTTTGCTCTGTCTGTAGGTCTGTAGTAACGGGTGATACTAGCTGACCAGTCCTTGGAACAAAAAAGGTCGGGGACCACTGGTATAGATGTAGCTCCATAACAAACTAATACATGTTTCTGCAATTGATTATTATTTGATTGTTTATAAAAATGTTTAATTTCTTAGGTTAAGAAACTCTGCTGCATGGACTTTATATTTGCTTTTTAAGCTCCCACGGGCCACACAAAACGGCTTGGTGGGCCGCATTTGGCCCCCGGGCCTTGAGTTTGACACATATGCACTAGAGTTACCACTGTATTCAACTTGTTGCTTTTTGCAACAAAAGTGGAAACATTTATACACACATGCATGTTTAATAGAGTTGTGTAGCATGTTATTCATATTGAACAGTTTGGTACAAGATGTTCTATACAAAAAAAAGGTATACACAAAACCTCTTTTTCGGTACATCTATTAATTTCATCTAGGTGGATGGTCCTGGACCTCCTGACCAGAGAGGTGGTCTCTGAAAGCATCGACGGGAATGAGCAGCTCTCTGTAATGAGATATTCACCAGGTTAGAGCTCAGTCACACTTCTCCGTATTCTTCTAAATCACGTGTGCATTTTTTAAAAATATTTCCCCTCAATGTTTTTTTAAGCATGCAGTTAAAGGCAATTAAAATTAAAAGGCAAATCGATTTTTGGGCTAGAACAAATTCTATTGGTAGTCCACAACTAGCCCCCTGGTCCATATGTTTGACATCATTGTACAAGCTGAGGATTCTGCATAAAATTGTTTGAGTAAATTTATAGTATTTTATAGTATCCTTTTTTATATTTATTTATTAATTAATAAATATACTAGTCAAGAAAACAAGTCAATAATTTTTTTTTAAAACGTATTTTACGCATATGCGATAGGCAAAAAGTTAGTAGTAATGCATTTGCAAATTTAAGTGTCATACTATCATAATACGCTGTTTGATTTCTACACCGGACTGGATGTAGTAAATGAAAGAATGTAGGCTTTGATCAGGTATTTATTTTAGTCTTTATGCACTTTCTTTATTAATTTCTGTCTATATAAATGATTTGAAACTAATTAAATCATTTTAAAAAAATATTGTAACTTTCGTTTATTGACCACCCCCAAATAAGTAAATCATTGTTTGAACGCTGACCTCTTGTGTTTGCAGACGGCAGCTATTTAGCGGTTGGATCTCATGACAACTTTATCTACCTATACAACGTGGCGGACAATGGACGGCGCTACACGCGATTTGGAAAATGCAACGTAAGTTAAATATAATTTCTCTTTTGTAATGTCTTTTGTTTTAAAATCTCAATGCGACAACTAACTGGAGTTTTGAAGGAGTCATGGTATAACTATTATATAATATCTATTATAATGTTAATTATGGTGCCATAAGGGTTTATCAATTATTACGTCTACTTACGTGTGTCAAACTCAGGCCCGGGGGCCAAATCTAGCCTGTGTCGTAATTAAAAAAAAAAAAAAAAACATGGCCCACGTTTGCATGAAAACAAAAGGAGAAAAACATGGACTTTATTTATAGGTAATTATGTTATGACTTTACTGGTCCAGCCCACTTCGTCTAAACCAGGCATGGGCAAACTAAGGCCCGGGGTCCGGATGCGGCCCGTTCAGCTTTTTAATCCGTCCCGCCAAACTTTTCCAAATGATATAATTTATTTATATTATCTTTATACTTCTGCCTTTTCCCTGCAATACCCATATTTCCCCAATAGGTGGTGTAGAAAATGATAAAAGCATTTTAGCATCTTAGCCTTTATGCATGACTTTTACATGTCATTTATCTTCGGTTCACACTCCATCTATCTACTCCTGACCCGGCCCTACTGTCAAATTTTAGGACTTGTTTTAGGAATTGTGTCCCGCGGGTCAAAAAGTTTGCCCACGCCTGTTATATACCATGTTTGAGTTTTGACACCCCTAGGCTTTCACATTTGACTTACGCGCAGACTGTCTTATGTTCGAGCCCCAGGGGAACCACATACTTGGTACCTCCCGTTTGGCAGCTTGTTGCAGCAGATCTACTGTTAGCACAACACTTTCCCCAGTGTGGGATTAACAAAACTGTCATTGTAATTATTATTGTCATGTATATGTATATGTATAGAGTACGTATATATATATATACACCATATCATTTCTCACTCAGGGTCACTCCAGCTTCATCACTCACCTGGACTGGTCCAAAGATGGGAAGTATATTATGTCCAACTCTGGTGATTACGAGATCCTTTACTGTAAGTGCGTTCACGTCTACTTTACTGCAGTCGTGTCCTAGCAAATGCCACAGGACACACACAGTGCCACCGTGTGGCTGTCTCTGACCCTGAGTGTGGATGTTTTTATTTTGAAGGGGACATTGCCGGAGGCTGCAAACTGCTGAGAAACCGTTTCGAGAGCAAGGACAGAGAGTGGGCTTCTTACACCTGTGTCCTGGGCTTCCATGTTATCGGTGAGTGTTGTACACTAACACCACAGCTCAGAGCTGGCTCTTGTTGTTATGGCGTCTCTAACTAGCCTACTGTTCGCCAAGAACTGGCTCTGCACTCCACTTATTGAGTTACTATTACACTTGGGGAAAGTTAAAATACTTTCATGGAAAATCTACATATTTTTTATTATTATCTTTTTTTTCTTCTCTTTTGTTATGAATCTTATGAACCAGTTTTCAGAAGTGGGCAGTTAATCTAAACGATCTATTACAAAGTGCAGAATATTAGTGACTGGAACTTTTTATCTGTGTGCAGAATATTAGTGACTGGAACTTTTGACTGTGTACAACAGATGTTTTCCTTTACCTTGTAGTGATGTCACATTGTCTGCGTTGCAGGTGTGTGGCTGGAGGGATCTGACGGCACTGACATCAATGCCCTGTGTCGCTCTCACAGCGAGAGGGTGGTTGCAGTGGCAGACGACTTCTGTAAAGTCCACCTCTTCCAGTATCCTTGTCCTAAACCAAAGGTAAGGATGTCCAAAGATGCAGTACACCGTAATACTTTTTAACGGATGTACGTGGAAAAACAGGACGTCTCACATAAGACAACGATTTCTGCAATGGTTCAATAATGACATCGGCTTTTACGAAGAATCACGTGGCATTGGCAAATGGGAATCCTGTGAAGCAAACCTTACTGGGATTTGGACATAAGAGCGAGGCAGCACGCAGGAAATTGCTTAGTGGTGAAAATGGAAATGACATATTGTCAGAGAGGTTGAAAGTGGTTGAAGTCAAAATGCAATTGCGGTGATTGTCCAAAATTGCAAGATGGTCTTCAATTCATTGGCATTGTTCGGAATTGCGGAAAATCTTGAAGGGACTTTTTTTTGGGCTACTTCAATACAATAGGGCAGTGTTTTCTAACCCTTTTGAGCCACCACGCCTATTAGAAAAAAAAAAGCAATGGTTCCCCACCAAAATAAATCCAACAAGAAGTAGATATAATGATCTTTTATGTTGGTCTGTTTGGTTGAACAAAATGCTGATATAGCTTTGGCCCAGAGGCAATGTCTCTGTCATTGGTGTAGAACCCCAGGGTTCACCTCCTGGGCAAGTTTGAATCCCAGTTAGGGCAGTTGGTACCTTCCAGTGGACTCACCACCTGCAGGAAGGTTTAGGGGGGTTGGTACGGTGCAGTGTGATTTGGGTGGAGACTGCTGCCCCCGCGACCTGGTAACGGATAAGCGGATGAAAATGGATGGATGGATGGATGGATGGGCAATGCTGATATACTTGCAGGACTTAAAGAAAGATGCACAGCATTCTTCAACTGCCCTGAGACTCTCTTTTTGTAGTTTTTACAGCCATCTGCTGCCACAAACTGGAAGATTTATTTTTTTCTGCCTATCACTGCTGCATGGAGAAATCGAGACAAATTGTTTGTAGTAAACAATTCCCATTAAGTTAAATTGTATAATCCAGGGGTCCCCAACTCAGTCCATATGTCATTTGGTACTGGGCCACGGTGCAAAATGTACTTCCGTTTTACTCATTTACTTAATCAAAAAAGGCTAGAGGTTAATGTTACTGTTTGGGGTGGGGGGGGGCCTTGGCAAGGAAACGTTTGGGAATTCCTGGTCTTGGGTTAACAAAACCACCTTTTGAAGATTTGTTTTTTTTCCTTGCTCTGTCCCCCCCAGCTTTTTTTTTTCCTCCCTCCCTAGGCCCCCAGCCACAAGTATGAAGGCCATGGCAGTCACGTCACCAATGTCTGCTTCACCCACAGCGACTCCCACCTGCTATCAATAGGCGGCAAGGACATGTGCATCCTGCAGTGGAAGGTAATGGGAGGCGGAACAGTGGACAGTAAAGAAAGACTGACCTCAACATCGTCCACGTCCAGCAGCTCTCCGGAACCCACCACCTAAGAAGAATAAGAGAGTGGCAGAGCAGGAACTGTTTGAATTTTCAGACATTTTACTCCGTTGACGGCTATCACAGCCTGCGCCTCAGTGCTAACTGGTGCTTTCTAGCGGAGGAACCGTCTCCATCAGGGATGGTTTGATACAACTTTTTCGTGCCTGATACCGATACCGGTATCAATCCGATACCTTCTTTTTCGCGGGCTGCTGTGGCTGAGGCAGTAGTGTCCCGGTTTACAGCATGTCACAAATGCATCAGTTAAGCATTGAGCATTTGGGCTTAGGTAAGGGATCGGATGGGCTATAGTTGTTTTTTTTTTTTTCTGTGTTCGATCCTGAATTTTTAACCAATATCGGACCGATCCTGAGCGTTGGATCGAGCCATCTCTGTGTGAAACTAAAGGGTGTGATGCTTTCTACGGCACAGAAAAGCTGTGATTTCTGGTGAAATGGTGAACATCAGTTTGCAGGTGCAGAACTTGACGAAACCTCTGAACCTTCCTGCATTTACCGTTGCATTGTTGCAAAATACCATAGCACGTTCAAAGCAGTAGGAGACACAATTCACAGGAAATAGAATTCATTGTTTTCAATTTCTAAATTGCAGATTACTACAACCTCAATCTTTAGCGACTAACTTTTTTTTTCTCTCTCACTCCACAGTTGTGTCTTAATATACATACATATTTGTTCTGCCTACAGCCTACGTCATGTGTTGGCCACACTGTGTTCCAATTCCTAACAATGTAAAATGAATGTGGAGCAGTAATTGGATGGATTTTGTTTGTCTCTATAGGCTGCGGGTATTTGGTGATGCCGAAGGAGTGAGACGTGTCCATTGATAGATTTGGATTTGTGTGCATTGCTCCACCTACTTGTCCAAAGTCGCACTGCAGGCATAGACTGTAAACTGCAAAGCAGTAACCCACAACCTCCTGCACCACAGACAGGTTCTACGCAAGGCTTTTGTCCACAGACCAGCGATAGGGGAGGTTACATGCATAACAAAGCACAACAAAGTGCACAATATATAATTTGATTATTACATATATAATGTTAATATAATTATTTTATTGTATGCATAGCATTTATTTGAATACAATACAACTCACCATAGTGCAGAATCAGTGGGATTGTTTCCCTGCAAATACTTTTCTTTCAAAAAAAAAAAACTCCACAAGCTTGTCTTTTAATGCATGATTCACCTTTCTATAGCAGTATTTCTCAACCTTTTTTCAGCCGTGGCACATATTTTACAGAAAAATCCCACGTTGCACCACCAAACAAAATGTCCTAAAAGTATTTGTAATTAAATATAAGGGTATTCTAGTTTCAATCTTCTTACTCAATGTGAAACCTGGGCCTGTTTAGTTAAACGCAACTTTGATTTACTCACATGAATTTAACAAAAAGCGCACAAAAATCTACAACAGCCAAACGGCTCTTTCTTTACTCCTCTACTCGTTTTTATAGCCATCTTCTGCCACCAAGTGGAGGAGTATTTGATTGCTCTGCAGGTCTGTTTCACATAGATGAATGAAGACAAATTATTTACAGTAAATAAATCATAGTATTCAGATGAATTGAGCGAATTTGGATCATTTCACACGTTACACCTAACGATCTCTCACACTATTGTGCCATGGCACAGTGTTTGGGAATTACTGCTCATCCTAAGAGGGAGGCAGATATTCTAAAATAAAGTAGGATTTAAAAAAAAAACCAAACATAATCAAACAGTTATTGAACATGTATTACAGTAAGTACAGTGGAGTATTATGCTCATGTTAGATAATTTCTCTTATATTATTCTGACATATCTATATCAGTCTGAAAAAAAATATCTGCTTTCTGCGTCGTTAAAGACATCTGTATAATGTTTTTCCTTTTTTTCTATTAATGGTTTTAATTATTTCTTTGTGTTTCTTCGGCCTGTCTTAAGAAAATGTGTTCATGCTTTACCATAGACTGTGAAAAACACCGTCTCTGACTAATCAGTTGATTTTGCAGTTTTTACAATTATTATTTAAAAAAGAACACTGACAATACTGTGAGGCTGTATCTGTCAAGCATCAGAGCAAATACCAAAGACTGGAACCTGTAGTTTTGGCGAAGTGTCACCAGTGGGCAGTGCTGCTCTAGGAGTGAAAGCTTGTGCTGTCTGTTGCGCGTGCGTTTGTGTGTCAGATTTGGTTAATGCTGGGGGGGAAAAAAAAGAAAGATATTAACAATAATTCCGTGATGGTTGTGATTACACTCTTGGTGGTTATGACAAAGGTTAGAGATAATAATAGAAATGTGCATTGATATTTGTGTGCGTATGTGTGTGTGTGTGGCTAGTGGCCCAGCCCCTGTTGAAGAGTTACATTTCAAATGTGCCTTGTGTAAAATTCAGCTCAACCTATTTTATATTCCATTTCTACTGGCAGATATTTACAATAAAATACATTTACTGACATGTTTCAGTGATATTCACCCAAAACATATGTATTCACATCAGACTCAAAGTTTTCCAAGCCTACTTTCAATAAACCGGTGCAGTGGTGACTTGGTTAAGGAAGTGGACCTACATCCGGAAGGCTTCATGTTTGAGTCCACCAGCTGCCAAGTTACCACTGAGGTACTCAGAGCATGACATTGCCATCTATGGACAGTGTAGCTCAGTGGTTCCTTAACTTTTGTATGATATGCTGTTAACTCCCCCAGCACATTTTGTTGCTATTTCCCTAAAACACTGTAAACACCATTATACCTACAACCCTATATTGGCTTTCTATTATCTGATTTTTTTTTTTACTGATTTTTTAAAAAAAAAAGTTTTACCATTCATTGAAATTCAACGAGAGTCAGAAAAGCCGTTTCATTTTTCAAATTTATTTGAAACTGCAGTGATTTAAATACTGTTGTCATTCTTACAGAACTGCGTCAAATTGCACAAAGCATCCAGGAATAACACAAGATGCAAATTTCTGAATGGTAGCACGTTTCAAACACATTTCTGCACTGCTGCTAAAATTCATAACTGACTTGGGTAGGACAGTGACATGTTGTTTTGTTGGTAACAAGCTGAAAAATTGGTTCAAAGTTGGAGTGGGTATCTGTTCCATTCACAAATATTAAATATCGTACCAAAACCAAAGCAAAGAGGCTAAAGGTGCTGCATGTGGGTTAGGATCCACAGGTTGACCTGCGAGTTAAAATGTCATATTAAGACTGGAATCACTTATTAGGGTGCTAATGTGAAGATAACTATATACATATATATATTCTGTATATATATATGTATATGTATATATAGTATATGTATACATACTATATACATATATAGTTATATAACAATTGATATTATATATATTTTACTTTACTGCTACTGGGTTGGCTGCTAATGAGTAGCTGAAATGGAAACAAACAAACAAACAAACAAAAAACCCCAACAAACAAACAACAACATAATACAAGTTAAGATGGTGGATTTCCCGCCATGAAAAGTGACATCACTTGCAGATGGTCCACATCAGTAGGCCCATAAACGTTTAATGTACTCATATTCGCTAAATAACATACAATTACCATAGGACTTAAATTTGTGAAAGTTATAAAAAAATATCACTTTTAATTGTTTTCAAACAGATTTCATACCATATTAAGTGAACAGCGAATGCATAATATTGTATTAACGAGTGTCCTAATTATTAATATACAAAGACAGGGGAGTGTTCTTGCCAGTTATTCGGTTGCTATTTCCCGCGTTTAAGGTGTATATTTAATAACTGAATTTCAATATTTTCTCATTCACCTGAGCGGACGTCAAGTTTACTCGCTCCGAAATAATAAAAAAAAGCACACACGTGCATTACATACAACCAGGAGTTTATTCTCCTTCAGCTGGCGTAAACAGAAGTTAACTGAGATGTCGGAAATGGTCGGCTGTCTCCGAAGATGACGATTAGCGCACGAACGCCGGGGGCCAGTGAGTACGTGTTTTCTCTGTGTGTGTGTATGTGTGTGTGACTGAGTGTGTAGCGGAGGTGAAGAAGAGGAGGATGAAGCTGGGAGCGGAGGATGGGAGGAAGAGTGGAGTAAGAGACAGGCCAGCCGTGTGTGGATGTGTGTGTGTTTGAGTGAGTAAGAGGAGATCGTCTGAGGGACGGACGAAAACAAAGTCTCATTTTGTGGGATTAACCTTCTGGAACATTGCAAACGGGAAACTTTCAACTTTTTACCCGGCACAGCTCGGCTTGTTGTGACCGGAGCCGGCTTTGTTTCACGGCGGGGGTGGCTGCGATAAATGAAGGAATAAAATAGATCAGCAGCGACCATTTTATACCCAACCGGGGAATACCCTGGGACCCTTCCGTCTGAAACTGCGAGAGAATGGCGGCAAACATGTACCGAGTGGGAGGTAAGAAATGTTTTACATTTTTGAGACCCCCCCACCAGCGTGATTGTTCGCTTCGACACACAGTTGCTAACCAGCCGCTAGCCGTCTGTCCCGTTAGCCGCTAACTAATGCTAACTCCGAGTAGCGCGTGTACGTGAGTCCACGCAACGTCAAATGTATTAAAAACAACCAATTCTGAGAGTGAATTAAGCAATTAGACATATTCCATGTATTCGGTGGTTATTAAATCACGAGACTTGCTATTCCTTTTGACTTAAATGCAACAATGCAGTTAGCAGTTGTTTCTTATATGTGAACTTTTAAATTGTCGAGTAACGTCCCCATCCGAAGGATATTTCGGCGGTTGACTGTTATACCGGCGCAAATTGACCACAAAAAGTTATTGTTCAGTGTGAAATTCGTGCAGCTTGGTAAATGGAGTGTTCGGAAGAATCAATGTACACTTGCAACTAAACAAAACACGCGTAAATGGTCACATTTCACATCACAGACTTTGTGCATATGTCAACGTCCTGAAAGCGGACACAGTTGTGGTTGGTATTAGCATTTAGCTACTCTGAGAGGGGCGGTATCGAACCAGCGACGTCTGCGACAGCTGGAGCTGAAGCTGCTGTGCTGCCTTTGTCAGGTTGGTGTTCGTTTCATTATCGACTCCGCCATAGCGTTTCATATGCAGCACCTCTTAGCTAGCCTCGCCGGCTAACTTTTATTGCCGAGTTGCATTAGCATAGTTAGCCGACGCAAGCGCTCGCTTATTTACAATCAGATATGTCTCTACTTGCTTACCGAATCCTAACGTCGCCCTCCTATAATTTGATACAATAATGTGCAATTTGATACGGATAACAACAATGTGTTACCACATGTTCGGCGCAAATGCAAGTAAAATCAAATTAAAGTTAGCTGCCTTACGGTAAGGCTAACGACAAGTGGGACTTTCATTTTAATTAATCTGAGACTGAAATGAAACTGTACAATTACAGTGGAATAAAGTTGTACTTAACTCTCATATGTGATATTGCGCTTACATCAGCATGTGAAGTGCATTGTTTGTACTTCATATGATACAAATATCTAACTGAGATCGGAGTATTTAATATTTTTGCAAACAATATTTCTGTTGTGCAGAAACACCAGTGCGGGCTTCCGACACAGTATATATATATATATGTTGATATTAAACCTTTGGACTGTCTCGGTTGTGAATCTTCAGTTTTTTTTTCACAGCCGTCGTTGTACACATCAATATCATTGTCGGGACGCTGTGTACCTTTCTTTAGTCTGCTTCTGAGGCTGCACAAATGGCGAGACCGTGAGGGACTGTGTAAGGTCACAAAGGATTCTGATTAAAAACAAATTGTTGCATTATGTACAGTGTGTATATGTATCTCCACAGTAGCTGGATTTCCTTCGTGTATACACAAGTAATAACTGGTGTGTCTTAGGTAGCTATTTGATTAAACCTGAAACACTGAATTCATACATCGCAATATTTTTTTTTTCATCTTGTGTAAATAACAACTGATAATAGTGGATGATTAGGATGATGTGTTTAGTCTTGTAAATGTGTGTTTTTGTATTTTTTGCATTGCTAGTGAGCATTTAAGTTCTTCTCATGATGGTAAACCTTTATTTAAAGTTGTCTAAGGAACTTTTTTTTTCTAGAGTATGTTCTTTTTGTCTATTGGAATACCATCACTGGTATATTCTGTATAAATAGAAAACAGTCACTATTTTAGGAAGCCCTAAACTGTTTTACTGTCTTCTTCAGTCTTTATACATAAGTTAATGCCAAAAATACCAAGTATGCTTCAGTTTTTAATTACATTTTTATTTTTCATTTTATTATTTACATTGTGCTGTGCAAACTGGGACTGTGTGAAAAGGCAAACATCGTTTATTCTTTGCCAGAAATCTGCACATTAGATTACACATAGTCAACATCTGTTTATTCTTTGCCAGGCACATTAGATTACACATAGTCAACATCAAATTGTTACATCCTAAAAATATTTTTGAGTTTTACAGTTAAAATTCAAAAACTATAATCGTAAAGGTTTCATCTGACTTCGTAATATTAAATTACAGCTATATAACTGTAGATCAGAAATAATGAATGAAAGATTACACACTCTGAGTGAAAGAGTATTCCTTTAAAAAAAAAAAATCAATCACCTATTCTGTTAAATACAAGACTTTTGTGTCAGCTCTCTTTCATTTAAGAACTCTGGGAAGAACCTATGTGTACTGTGTTATTAGCACCTTTAAATACCCTCATATCCTAGCTTTTAAAAAGTGTTATATTCTAGATAACAAGTTCACAAATGTTATCATACAATACCTGAAGTCTAATTTTGTCAACCGTTATTGTTGTTGTTCAACATTGATCAGTAACAGCTACGTAGCAGGTGTCTGTTGGCGCTCAATAAGGAGTTCTTTGTTACAGCTGGCTGGTACGGGCTGCTCCGTTTCATTGAGCTCCTACATTACGGGTCCTTCAGAGGTACTGAGTGTAAAGCCCACATCTAAGATCATTATCTTTCAGAGATTAGTTAAAGGGCTTTCTCTTAACTTGCCCTCCATCACTGGCATGAAGCACCATTCAAGCTGCATGCATAAAGCCACACAGCGTAAACAGCAACTCTGAAGTTTGCTCAAGTTTGCCTCCACTTGTCTATTAGTGTTAAAGCAACTAATACCTAGTGTGTCTTAGAGGTGGACTGATTGACCAGCCTGTGATTGGACGTTTTTCAGCGTAATCAGCCCTGAATGGTGACTAGCTGGTCAGCACTCACGTTTTTTGATTTTGCAGCTGATCATTTTGCACACCGGCCCACGGACCTGAAGTCCAACCTGTTTTAACCTCTAAACCAGAGATCCCCACACTTGTCTGCTTCATGGACCAGTGGACCAAAAGACATAACACCATAACATAATGCAATCAGCTAAAGTATATAGTGAAAGAAAATATAGAACTACTCACCATAAATGTAAAAACATTGGGCGCCCTGAGCTTGTTTTGGAGCAATAACATCACAGCTGGGAGTTTTAGCAATTCCACAGTGGGTTTCCTTGTGTATGGTCTTAATTTTGGTTGTTGTCGTTCGACCAAAAAACAAGGTCTTTTCGCATCAATCGGTTGTCAGAAATGAATGCAGCTCCATCCATTTCTTTTTTTTGCAATCCTAAGATTAGCCGACTAGATGTGTTTAAAGTTTGGTCACTGCTCAAAAGTCTTTTGATAGTCACTGTTTAGATGGTATATTTTGACTTGATTTGGACAGACGCTCGCCAATTTGATGACACAATGTAAATTAATGAAAATATGTAACCAAGTTGTAACAGTCTGCCTCCAAAGGTTGTCTTCGTAACAGCAGGCTTGGTCTGTGTTCTAAAATATGCCTACTGGAACTTATTTGGTTTTTGAAGACACGGACGGATACTTGGCTCGTGATCCAATAGGGGATGAGTTTGGCAACTGACGTAGCTTATCCTTGAAAGAACGCACTTAGAAAAAAAAAAAAATCCTTGAAGTCTCGGGAAAGTTGTATTTTTGTCATTTCTGGTCAAATAAAATATAGTTTAGACGCTGTTATTCACCACTGTGGTTTGATCAAAATATCCCAGTTCCAGCACAAAATATTATTATTGTTGGATTTATTTTTTTTTTTTTTTTAGTCTACACATAAACACCACATTCTTAAAACATTGCCTCAACCCTGCTGAATCAGTTTGTAGGTATTTATATTTAAATGCTTAAAAGCTTCCTTGTAACACTGCTGGCATTTCCGTAAAACGCCAACTAAGTATTAAGTTCCAGTTTGGTCAGGTAAGGATAAAACAGGATCGGCAGTGGCAGTTTGAAGATTTTTTTTTTTGATGCTCTTGATTAAGCGACAATAAATGCATCGAGTCAGGTTTTGCTCTTTTTTTTCCCCTTCCAGATTACGTGTACTTCGAGAACTCCTCCAGCAACCCTTACCTGATCCGCAGAATAGAGGAACTGAACAAGGTTTGTTGTTTTGCTTTCGTTTCTAGTCACTCTCTAACTTCCATGTGTTTCATATGTTTTCAAATACACATTTTTGTGGTTGTGTGAGTAGTGGTCACCTCTTGTTTGCAGCAGAGAAACAGGCTCAAAATGAAGTTAAAGCCCAATGACTTCACTACCTTTTATGAGAATACCCAGTGTATTGCATGTATCAGTAACATTGTGTGTTGGGTCACATCACAGTACAACACTATGTTAACAGTTTAAAGACTTAAATCCCATGTGACCCTCACTAAACAAATGATTTAAACAAGAGCATTAGTATTTATAGTCATTACTGCAGAAAAGTTAGGGAAATAAAACAAATGGTTCCTCGTGAGGTAAAGAAGGAAGGAAAGGTCTATGTCTTCATATTGTTAATAATAATGGCAAATGTTAGACTTAAGGGGGATGAAAGAAACATTTTTCTACGGCACAGCGTAACTTGATTTTCAACTTAAGTAAAAAAAAAAAAACAACATAAATGCAAGAAGGTGAATGAAGCACAATCCAATGTATGGAAATAAAATAAATGGTTCCTCGTGAGGTAAAGAAGGTAAAGGTCTATGTCTTCATATTGTTATTCATAATGGCAAATGTTAGACTTTTAAGGGGGATGAAAGAAAAGTTTTTACAGTACAATTATATTAAAAGTTCTATACCAGAGGTCTTCAACTTTTTTCCGTTTCTACGGCACAGCGTAACTTGATTTTCAACTTAAGTAAAAAAACAACATAAATGCAAGGTGAATGAAGCACAATCCAATGTATGGCGGATAACTGGCAAGTATAATATAATAGCTGGGCTGTGTTTTGTTTTCAGTGCGCCTTATACATGTATTATACAACAGTCAATCTGTTGAACTATCTGCTGTGCTACTTTAGTATTTCCATGAAACAGGCAGTAGTAGCTACAAAGGACAAGTTCCGAGTCAAGAGCTCTGAAGTTTGGATGAAACACTGCACTGTCTTAAATTGCTCGCTGTCTTATTTTACAGACAGCCAATGGGAATGTGGAGGCCAAGGTTGTGTGTCTGTTCAGGAGGAGAGACATTTCTGGCAATCTCAACACCTTGGCTGACAGCAATGCAAGTGAGTAGAATCTCTAGAACTCGTGCGCATCAATACGATAGGGCTCAACACACCTGACAAATCTGTTACCAATTGGGTTTCACATAAAAGCCTGACTTTAATATATGAACTGTACATACAGCCTGAAGGCCCAAATGTAAGGACTAACTTTAAAACGTCTGACTTGATCTTTTATAAGGGTCTCATACGTGTCCATTCACAGTACTGTGGCATTCACATACCAGAAAGTATGTGATTTACCTTCAGATTTGACCTTCTGTTACAAAGGGCAAAAACCCACACACTGTCAGATTGGCCTATAGAGATATGCTGTAAAAACTTCGTCAATAAAAAAACAGTGGCTCACAAGGCCTTCGTCCATTGTCCACATGAATTGAGCACATCTGTTGAATTGATCTTTCGCCACTTGTGCTGATTGTTAGTGCATGTACTATTCAAAGTCAAATTCAAAAAGTTTTTTTTTTTTTTTGTTTTTTTTTGTTTTAACAGGTGTACTTATTTACCGTCCGTAATTATCATGTAGGTGGTTCAAGGTTTGCCTTTTGTTTCAAAGTCAATGTACTGTATAAGTAAAGGCAAAGTTTTCAATGTGTGACAATTGGCATCTGTGGAAATAAAAAAATGAATTGCGCATCAAGGAGTAAACCTTAGGCTGCATTTTCGCAAAAAGACGCTGGTCATATCGCACACATTGTAAAACTGTACAATGCGTACGTCGAAAGAAATAGAAAAGAAATTCATGTCAGTCTTCACCGAGGCTAGGCCTAGCTTATGCCGCAAGCGTTCTCAGCCTTCACCAGCAGATTAGAATCTTCTTAGATTTGGGTCTATGTTCCACTTGTGAATATTTCAATTGGTAGAAAAAGAAAATCCTGGCGTGGGGCAAAATACTTTCCGTTTCTCTTATTATTTGTGAACTACTCTCCGTGTAATCTTGATCGTTATAGCCTTTAATTTAGATACAACCACGCCAAGTGATTAATCCTATGATCTATGATGCCAAGATTCTGTCTGGGTAGATCCCATATATCACATATGAAATCTATTTACCCCCCCAATTCTAATAATTTCATGCTTGTATATTCATAATCATGGTATTGATTTTTACTGTAATTGTACCTTTAACCCTCTTTTGTCTATATTGTGGTTGTTGTCGTCTCCCCTGCCCTGATCAGCCTTTGAGACCAGTATGTGACTTGTTTGTAATCCAAGGGATGGGAGGGGGGAGTTAGTGGGGTGGTGCTAATGGCATGCAGACTACTGAAGCCTGATCACACTCACACATTACTCCCACCCCAGCACCAAACTGACTCTCCCTCCTTTTTTTCCTAGGCTGCAGTGCTTCAGACAAAGACATTCGTACACACACACACACACACACACACACACACATGCATGCACACACTCACATACATTTAAATGCCTTCATAATTTTACATGTAGATGCTGTGGTTCTCATCCTATTTGGCTTTACTTGCCCCTTTTATTATTATGAGAGACATTTTAAATCAAAATACAAAAAAAATTCTCTGTCTTTTAATGGGGCACTGCCGAACAGAGAAGGACTTACTGGATGTCCTGTGTCCCAGTTTGCACCTTCGTATCCGGGCGACGATTGCCGTCTGTTGTTGCTAAATTATTACAACATCTAGCTAGCAGTGGGTGGTAGCATAGCATTAGAATCCCATTAACCCTTAGTGAGAACCGATACAGGAATGGGTCGACTCGGCTAGACTTTATGATGTAGATGTTATTATTATTATTTTTATTTGTTTTTTTTTTAAAATCCTGCTTTGAGATCAGAGCCAATACGAGAAGACAGTGATTTTTTTTAAAAAATGTTTTTTTAATTCAAATGTCCGCAGTCGTAGTGCTTTTATAATGCTCTCTATGTCATTTTTTTTAAAGACAATAATCTTTGTTCGTCTCTAAATCATCAACTCTAAAAAAAAAAAAAACGTTACTTACATACTCATTATTAACACTTTGCATGACAAGTAAGCACCATGTAGAGCACTATGCTACTGCACACAATAACTAAACCTCTACTGCATCATTGCTTAATCTATGCTTTTAAACTTGAATTTTGCCAACAAATACAATTTATCAAGATTAAAAGTTATCTTAATTTAGCATGATTAGTCGATGTAAGTGCAGATACTCCTTCATCCCTAGATATGACAAAAATAGAAAGAGAGATTTATGTGTTTCACACCTGGTTTTGTCTGTGACTTATCCAGATGATTCAATAATTAATATGGAAAAAAAATGATTAAGTAAAATTGTAGTACAAAAGTATAACTTAAATTTTAGTCATTACGGTGCATCTTGATGGTGAGTTGCATTGTGAAAATTCTCTTGTGTCCTGATATCCCTCACCACCTATATTTCTTCTGTCCACTTTGATACCCGAGTAGTTTACATATTTATAGACTTTAAAAATAAAGATCTATAAAGAGATAGGGTTTGTATCTAAGATACCAAAATAAAGCTTAAGAAGCTAGAGAGGGTAAAATAGATTTTACTGAATGCTAGCCTGTTGCTAGTTCGTCAAACATACTTGAAAACTACCAAACGTTTTAAAGATAATAAACACTCAACATATCTAATTGTTGTGTCAGACTAAGAAAGTTAATTTCTGTTATAGTAACAAGGAGTGATTGCTTTTAGGAGGTGGATCACATTAAAATGCAATCTTAAGTAAGGTCATCCGATCCAGGAGATATTCCCTTGCTATTCTAGTTGCAGTCATCATGCATCAAACTGTAGTCCTGGTGGGGGTGATTGACTGTAACCTAAGCTAATGCTATATTGGACTTGGTTATCCTGGGAAAGAGATTACCAAGCTAACTTTAGTCATACCTCATTTATCTTCGAAAAAGCAGATCTCCCAGCATGTCTTCTAGGCATTTGCAACTTTCCGCACCAAAAGAATCACTTTTTATTTTATTGGCAAATCAAATTCTTATTGACGTCAGATTCAGAAAAATGATGCGAGAGAGCAATGTGTGATATTTTAGCTACTATAGTAATACTACAAGTTGTAGTAATGCTGGTTTGATATATCCGGGTAACTCTGGTCAGGACCCACAGGTTGCAGACGCCTGGTGTAGACCATTGACTGTATACAAAAAAAAAAAAAAAATGAGTTCAGGTTGTCTTTTTCAAAAGACAAAAATGTAGTTTTTGTGAATTCCAATCTGATTTAATTATGATCACAATGTCTTTAAAAAGGCCAAAGATTGGCCTAGCTGTTTGAGACTAGTTGTTGAGACTGTGCGATACTGTCAGAGGTAAAAGGCCAACGATTGGCCTAGCTGTTGAGACTGTGCGATACTGTCAGAGAAAGAGAGATGTTATTTTCCTCGCAGCTTTACTGTAGATCCGTCTTGGCTCAAAATGTATCACCAACATGAAACAGTGGGAAATTGCTTTATAGCTGGTACTTAAGTTGCAGTCGCAGAGTTGTTACAAGTAACGGTACAGGTAACCTGTGGTTGTCTGTCTGGCTGGTGATTTTTAGATAAGAGAAGCTGTTTTTACCACATCCAATAGTGTTTCTTGGGCCTTTACTTTTTTTTAAAAAAAACCTATACTGTAATAAGTTGCATGCAGTTCCCATTTTTTTTGTATGCTTTTTTTAAAAATGTATCTTATCAGACCTCATTATATATGTGTGCCATGCATTTATCAGATCTAATCCCATGTTCTCCAGCGTCAACACTTGCACATCAATTCCTTGGGTACAACAAAAGGCTCTTGATCTGCCTCCTCCCCCCCCCCCCCCCCCCCCCACCCCAGAGTCACAGTACACAAGGGGTTAATTCTGACTTGACTTGCATCTTTGTCAAGGCAAACATAGTTCTGTGCTTGCGCGTGCGCGCGGGTGTTCGTGTGCGCCAGCATTTTCAGCCCCGTGTGTGTGCGTGCGTGTGTGCCACAGTTATGATGTGTACCCTTCAACTGTGTTTGTGTGTGTGTGTGGTCATGTGCGGATGAGTGTTTGTGTGTGTGTGTGTGTGTGTGTGCGCGCTCACTCACATGTGTGTGTCTTGGTGGGGGATGGGTGCTCAGGTTTTATATACAGGGTTTCCTACTTTGCCTGGCAGGGACTAAGCCGGACAGGGGGAGGAGAAGGAGAGAAGTTGAGAGGTTAACAGAAAAGGGGTGTGGCCAAAGGCACCGTCCCTCCTGCTCAATAGCTCATGGTCTCTTTCTTTTTTTTTTTTTTTTCCCTCCTTCTCCCTCCTGTGCCCTCACTGTCAGGGTTTCCTCTGGCTGAGTGCAGGGGTGGAGTCCAGGAAGATGAAGAAGGATACAGTCCCCTCCCTAACGGCTTACAATAACGAACTAACTCGCATGAATTTAGGAATGCAGAGGGAGAGGCAACACACACATAAACACCCAAATATAGACTCTTTGACGAAACGTGACTGTATAACCATTCAGTATAACTTCTTTTTTTGTGCAGGGCCCGCATCACATGATTTCTGTGAGCTCTCAATGGGGAGTGACAGTTGCCATGTTGATGAAGAACACTGTGACGGCTGCCAAGAATGCACTGATGCATTAAACACAGTATTAAAGACATTCACCTTAGTGAATGCTAGCGAGTACTGTAGGCATATACACACTGAACATGCAGTACATATACATGTACAAACACTGTATGAACAAAAGTTGAACATTTGTGATGTCCCTTTATGGATCTGTAGATTTTATATATATGTGTGTATATATATATTTACACACATGTGTATATGTATAAATATATATATATATACATATATACATATATATACAGTATATATGAATATAGGTGTATATGTGTGGATGTGTATATATGTATATACATGTGTATATGTACGTGTATATCTGTGTATATATGTGTGTGTATATATATGTATATATACTTTGTACATATATATACATATGTATGTATATATGTATATATATGTATTTATATATATGTATATATATGTATGTAAATATATATGTATTTATATATATATATATGCGCAAAGAAGTTTGTCACTGTAATTTACACCTAAAACGACATATAAACAACTTTAAGGCCTACAAGGAGTGCTCATGTAACGTTGTGAAATCAATGAATGCATAAAAACCACAATACCGTGATAACCTCTCTGACAATAATTATACCAATGAAATCTATAAGGCAATAGTGTTTGGGAGGCTTTGGCTTGGAAAACGTTTGTGGAACCCTGGCTTAGATGACATTGAAATCAAAAATAACTATAAGCAATGTTAGTATACTTGGGTTTTCATATTAGTACCGGATTTTGCCTTGTAACTTTTCTGTACGAAGTACAAAGTGTGACTAAAACCAGTACAAATATGGATAAACGAGAATACAATTTGAGCGCCTACATTTTGTATACTGCCCATCTCCTTTCATCTAAATGTTCACCCTTCTGGTGGCGTCAAGAATGAACTCAAATTACTTCCTCCTTTTATGTGTCTGTAGGGGAATTCGAGGAGGAGTCGAAGCAGCCGGTGCTCTCGGAACAACAAAAACACCAGCTTAAGCACAGAGAGCTCTTCCTGTCTCGACAATTTGAATCTCTACCCGCAACTCACATACGGTACGTGCGTTTCAAGAGCACACGGAGCAGCTGAGCTCCGTTTCGATCGCATACCTCCTGTCGTTAAAGGGTTCTTCAGTGAAGCAGTGTGTTTTTTTTTTATGCTGTTTTTATGCATTTCTCACAGATTAGTTCCACATTGGCAATTTATGTTACCAATACTTACACATTTAACACGCCATTTTATATATAAATATATTCAACAATTTCCTGGAAAGTGCAGGAAATTGTTGAGGTACTAAAATGAAAATGGATACCTTTGCACCCAACTTTCTGACAAATAAAAGCATGTGTAATGGGTAAACAGTCTGTGTCCACGCACTGAGAATGTACATCAAAGCAGTCTCTAAATGTCAGTTGTAAAACTAATTTGCTGCTTTAGGGTTAGCCTGCAGCGGCTTGCTGATGTAAATTGACACGACTTGAAAAAGCTCAGGTAACGCTACACCTGGGGGGGGGAAAGAACCAAACTGTTATATCTGTTACAAAAAGGGGAGATTGGAGATTGGAGCTCTCTTGGCTCACTGTAAAATACTTCAAAGATATTGACATGTTAGCGCCAACTGAGAGACGTGAGCTTCTTTTTCCTCTTCTCCCACACAGTAGACATGTTGGAAATGATTAGGGATGCCTCGGTGCAATACTTAAGATCAGTATCGATCCAATATCGGTCAAATTTCAGGATTGAACATAAAACAACGATACCTCGTCCGATCCGATACCTAAGCCCAAATAGCAAAACATAACTTTCCGCAACTGTAAACGGGACCTTATCACATCATCAGCAGCAGCAGCAGCCCGCACCTTGCTGGAGAGAGTATAGGGTTGATAGCAGTATCGGCAGGTTGCAGTATCGGTATTGGACGTGAAAAAGTTGTATTGAGCCATATATTGGACACGAAAAAGTTGTATTGAGCCATACCTAAAATGATGGACTGCTAACCGCAAATACGTGTCCTGACTGACCGGTCGTTGCTCAAGGCTAAATACGCTTAAAATCAGCTGATTCCTGTTTTTGGTCGATCAATCGGTATACCTCTAACTAGGGCTGGGCGAAAAAACAACCAATCGTGTGATGTCAGTGCAGCAGTACACACTACAGCGGTGCTGCACCTCGAACACAAGCAGTAGTTTCACTTTCGTTTTGAGAGGAACAGGAAGTGAAATGCATGCTAATCGTCCTAGCTACGTTTGTTCAGATTGCACCGCAGTTTGTTATTAGTTTTAATATATATATGCATATACAGTATATCGTAGCAGAGCGGTTAAATTATTTTTGTTCTCATGAGAAAGCGGTTTGTTTTTGTTCAGTCAATAGACGTGGTTGTTGGCCACAGCGCACGCCATAACCTACCGACCGCTCGGAGCAGAACGCCCAGCATAATCCCCCGCTGGCTCCCAACCATTGTTTGTTCTAATTGAACAAAAGACACATGCACGCTGTTCCTTTGGTGCGTTCAAGGTGCCCAGGAAAATTGAGTACACGGCAGAACACAGAACAGTCATTCCTGTAACAATATTGGCGATAACTCCACATTCACCCAACAAGTTACAATATTATGTATATTTTTTTTCACTAGTTTATTTTGTTTTTTCACTTTAACATTCAATGTTCAACAAAAGCAGATTCTCAAATCAGCGAGTAATCATTTTGAATAATCGTGATTTTATTAAGAATCAAAATAATCGTGATTATTATTTTTGCCATAATCGATCCTCATGTTTATTCTTGTGATATTTTTTTGTGATCATAACTTCATAACATCATAACAATCTGGGTGCTTAACTATTTGGTCCTGACTTTTTCTCCTCAGAGGGAAATGTAATGTCACCCTCCTCAACGAAACAGACATTTTGGCTGGTTACCTGGAAAAGGAGGTATGTCACTACTAGTCACTCCCATTGTTGTCAGAGTCAATTGTTTTGCAGCATAAAAAGAAATGACACTGGGTTAAAATAATTTTGCGAACCAGGTGTAATGTTTGGATGGTCATCCCCTACAGGACTGTTTTTTCTACTCGCTGGTGTTTGACCCTGTCCAGAAGACACTCCTGGCAGATCAGGGTGAGATCCGCGTGGGCTCCAAATACCAGGCGGAGATCCCTGACAAGCTAGCCGAAGGTGAGCGCTGCCGCTGAACTTTACAATTAAGCACACATCCCTAAAAAATAAAGTTGGTCAGATGAAGTCAGTGCCTCAACTTGCGGAACAAATAAAACAAAGATAGATAACTGTAATTACTTGTTTCTCAGGTGAATCGGATAACCGGATCCAAGAAAAGCTGGAGACCAAAGTGTGGGACCCCAACAACCAGCTCAAAGACCCGCAGATTGACCAGTTCCTGGTGGTGGCGAGGTAATGGCGTGCTAAAGTCTGTCCCACAGTCCCATCATCATCATCATTTTGTGACGATCCTGTCATCAAAGCACTGTCTGATTTTGCAAATTGCTCAACCTTGTTATCATTTGTTGTTTTTTTTAATTTTTTTATTTCATGGTAAAGTTTTTAGAGTCTAGTGTGACATCTAATGATTAGACACAATTGAAACCACTATAATGTATAATGTTAATAAATGTTGTTGTAAGTCTGTACCTAGTCTGTGCTCCAAGGAGTAGTATTTTTCTTGACAGTTTTTTTTTTTTTTTTTTTTTTTAAGACATGGAAAGCGAGACGTTATCTGTGTCTGCTGGACCTGTTTTCGTTTTACTTTACTTCCTGTCTACATATTTTATATTTAAACCACTTGACTGTTCTGTGACCACGCTAACCAGTTAGAGAAGCTCTTGCTTGCTGACTGACAATACTAGTATTTAAGGAACACATTAGATGGGTTACACAGGCGTGTCCAGACATTCTAATGTAATTCTGCTAAACCTTCCCTAATTGCTAACCCCGATTAAAGCCATTTCAAATGCAAATTTTTCATGTAAAATAATATAAATAATGTAAACAGTTTTGTTTATGATTCGCCATTGTTGCTGCAGTAGCTAAGAGCAAACACTCTGGTGGACAATAGACATCTAACAATAATGCTCACTTAATGTTCTAGTGTTTGTTTTAAATTTGATGGAAAAAAAAAAAGAAAAAAAAAAGAAGCTAGGGCTCTTCAGTATTACTGACCTTTGTTTGTGTGTCTGTATTTTAGAGCTGTGGGGACCTTTGCCCGGGCCCTGGACTGCAGCAGCTCAATTCGCCAGCCGAGCCTCCACATGAGCGCGGCTGCAGCCTCCAGAGACATCACACTGGTGAGAGAAACAGCGTGTAATCGGATGACATGTTATATTGTCCTTATGCTTAACCTCTGCGCCGGCTATCTGCGGCTAAAACCATTAACCGTCTGTCTTGTCCTTCTTTTAGTTTCACGCCATGGACACGTTGCAGAAGAACGACTACGACCTGGCCAAAGCCATGTCCAACCTAGTCCCTCAGGGCGGTCCGGTCCTCTGCCGTGATGAGATGGAGGAGTGGAGCGCCTCGGAGGCCATGTTGTTCGAGGAGGCTCTGGAGAAATACGGCAAAGACTTCAATGACATTCGTCAGGACTTTGTAAGCTCTTCTCTGCTATGAAAATAACTGAATCTCATTGTCTTTACATTATTTTTTTTAATGATTAGGTCTGTCAAAAATAATGTGTACATGTATGTATATATGTATATGTATGTATATATGTATATTCATATATATATGTATATGTATGTATATATGTATATTCATATATATATGTATATGTATGTATATATGTATATACATATATGTATGTATATTCATATATGTATGTATATATGTATATACATATATGTATGTATATATGTATATATATGTATGTATATGTATGTATATATATGTATATGTATATATGTATGTATATATATGTATATATATATGTACAGTATATGTATATATGTATATATATGTATGTATATGTATGTATATATATGTATATGTATATATGTATGTATATATATGTATATATATATGTACAGTATATGTATATATGTATATATATGTATTTATATATGTATATGTATGTATGTATATATGTATATATGAATAGACTCTTCATAACAAAACCATCAGTCTTTTAATGGAGCTGTGCTGTGAAATATTTGTCTCAGTTACCTTGGAAGTCTCTAGCAAGTGTGGTGCAGTTCTACTACATGTGGAAGACAACAGACCGCTACATCCAGCAGGTGAGACAAATCACACTTGATTGTAAAGAGTTTATTTGTTTTGGAGTATTCCGTACAACATTATAAACGTGGGGTTTTTGTGTCGTTTCGTTTCGTTCCAGAAACGACTTAAGGCGGCAGAGGCAGACAGTAAGCTGAAGCAGGTGTACATCCCCACATAGTGAGTACTGCTCTCAAATACTACTCTAAGTTCATGACTTCATTGCAAAAAAAAAACTGCTGTTAAAGAAAAAAAAAAAACTCTCCCATCTCCGTTCACCAGCACCAAACCAAACCCTAATCAAATTATGGTGCCAGGCAGCAAGCCAGGAATGAATGGTGCTGCAGGCTTTCAGAAAGGGCTCAGCTGTGAAAGCTGCCACAGTAAGTACACACCGCACTGGGATTCACGTTCTGCAACGTCATGTTTGTAGCTATAAACAGGAAGTACAGTCTCTCATCTGCTTTTGTTTGCTGGGACAAGTCAAAGCTAGAATTTGTTTACTGGACCAATCAGAGGAAGCTAATTGTATTCCTAGGAAGTTAGGGTAAAACCCAATCCCAAGCTTCCGGAGCAGTTGTGGCTTAATGGTTAAGGAAGCGGACTTGGGTCCGGAAGGCTTCGGGGTTTGAATTTATCTATCTAGCTGCCAAGTTACCACTGAGGTGCTCTGAGCATGGCACCGCTCCTGGGCGCCTAACGCTGTCCCCCTGCTCACTTTGGTGATGGGTTAAAAGCAGAGGTCACATTTGGTTGTGTTCAGTGGTGTGCTGTGTCACAATGACAAGAAGTTCACTGTCCTTTATGAGCCTTATCTATTCTCAGTCGATACTTGTGAGTATAGATTAATGGATACCACAGAATTGATACTCCCATCACTGGGTTCCTGTTAGGTTTTTGTCTTAGTAAAGAAGGTCGTGGACTGAATTATATATATATATATATATATATATATACGGTATATACGGTATATACATATATATGTATGTGTATATGTATGCGTCTATATATGTATGTATGTATATGTATGTATGTATGTATATATATACATACATATATAGATGCATACATACATATACACATATACACATACAAAAATATATATATATAGATAAATATATACATACATACAAAAAAAAAATATAGATAAATATATACATACATATATGTATTTATGTATATATTTATCTATCTCTATATATATATTTTTTTACAAATTAATTTTCATGTTGCAGTCAGCCTTTGAAGAGCAATTACAATGTTGTTGTGCCTGTAGATTAAAAAAAAAAAAAGATAAATGAGTTGAACACCCTTTACCCTGTGTAGAAAGAGAGACCAATACACTTTCTCTCCTAAATATCTGTCTGTAGAGGATCCTAATACCACTGACGGTCTGACTGTCCACCATGTCCTTGCAGCGGCCCAGTCACCTCAGTGGTATGCCTGGGGTCCTCCCAACATGCAGTGTAGACTCTGCGCCTCCTGCTGGATTTACTGGAAGAAGTATGGGGGGTTGAAGACACCGACACAGCTAGATGGTGGAGCTAGAGGTGGTTCTGTAAGTCCCGTCCCTTATACCTGTATCCCATCTCACATGTCTTTATGCTTAGCATATAAAAGGATGCAGCAACATAAAGCTCACTTCTAAGTGATCTACCTGTGTAGGAGTCCGGTCCCCGTGGTCACATGACACGCCAGGAAGTCCAGGGCATGTCGCCATTTACCCGCAATGAGGGTCGGGCAAAACTGCTGGCCAAAAACCGCCAGACGTTTATCCTGCGCACCACCAAGCTGACCCGCGTTGCTCGGCGAGTGTGTGAAGACATCCTGCAGCCTCGGCGCGCTGCACGGCGACCCTACGCTTCCATCAACGCAAACGCTGTCAAGGCTGAGTGTAAGTACACATGCAGCCGTGGACCAAGTACAACAAAATAAAGTCAAGCTATTTATATAGCAATTTAAAGAATTTTCCTGTATATCTATGACTTAAAAGACTTATTTTCAAGGCTTCTTGTCGTCAGTCACTAATTATTATTTTTCAAATAAGTTCACAGCACAAGCTCGAATTCCGTCAGTCACTGATTATTATTATTTTTTAAATAAGTTCACAGCACAAGCTCGAATTGATCAAATTTCTAGTTTGTAGTATTAAAACCAGCAACAGAGTAAAACATCATTCCCATCATTTGACACCAATTTTCAAAATGCACTGAATGAAGTTTGTCGCCCTCTTATGGTGGCAAACTGTAATTGCGCACCTCTTTTTTTTTTTAGTTTGCTGAATTCAGAAAATTTGTTAAACAAACAACAAGCGTTTTGTTAAGGATAATGATGTTTTTGATTTGTGAAATATTAAAAATAAATGATGTTTTCCATAGTTATATTATAACATACACGATTTATGTTAATTAAATACGTTTCCAGTCCCTTGAAATGATGATTGTGTTATCACTTCTAGTTTAGTTATGTTGTTTTCTTTTCCCAAGACTCACTGTGTCACTCACTAACACAACAGTAGACACTGGAATTTGTTCTCTTGACGTTATAAGGCAGGCGTGGGCAAAATTTTTGACTCGCGGGCCACAATTGTCCTAAAATTGAACAGAGGGGGCCGGGTCAGGAGCAGATAGATGGAGCGTTCATGTGAACTAGGGCAAACGACATGTAAAAGTCATGCATAAAGGCTAAAATGCTTTTATCATTTTCTACGCCATCTATTGGGGAAACGTGGGTATTGCAGGGAAAAAGGCAGAAGTCTAATGATAATATAAATTTGGAAATGTTTGGCGGGCCGGATTAAAAAGCTGGGACTTAGTTTGCCCATGCACATGAATGGTGTTGCTAGAACCGGATTGAAAGAATACATATACAGGAGGTCACTGGTTTACGATGTCCTTGACCTACGGCCTTTCCTCGTTGCATCGTCATCTCCCATAATTTTACTAAGAAGGTTTTGTTCCATCATTTCGGCGTACGGCCTACACATTTTGCAAGAGAAATAGTTGACGAGAGGATCAGACAAATCTCATCATGGAAGACCTGGGAACTTTTTTGCCCTTCATTATGGCTCCCACGCAGTAGTCTTAGCTTATAACGTTACCAATGTGTTAGCGTAGGTGAGTGACGTAAGCACTTGCAGTTCCAACTTACGGCGGAAATCGAGATATGTCGCGCCGGAGAAATGTAAATCTGACGTAAGAGAAGACAAGAAACCTCATGAAGATCTAATAGGAATATTTTTGAAACCAACCAAAATAGGACATTACCTGTAAACTGACAAGAGTTATTGTGATTGCCATCTTATTTTTTCTATTTTTTTTTAATCTGTGCTCAGGTATCATCAGGCTCCCCAAAGCCCCAAAAACTCCCGCAAAGAGCAAGGTGGTGCCTCGACAGTCACTAGCGGCTATAGTGAAGGATTTAGGTAAGATCCCGCCTCTGCTTTACAACTGCCTTTATACCGAACAGAAACACAAGAATTAACATTGTGTTCCTCTGCAGCTATCTCGGCTCCACTGAAACTGAAGGCTTCCAGGGGACCTCCAACACCCATCAACAGGAACCAGGCCAGCCAGCCCAGAGTGGGACAAAGCTTGCTGGGCAAGAGGGGGTTTGACAGCGTGAGTTTTTGCTTATTTACCTTGGAACAAATTGTCCCATTGATTCTTGGCAAGAGATTAATGCATTAACAACAACAACAACAAAACAATTGAAAACTGGGGGTAGAGATACATGAAAAAACAAGAAAAGAACAAGCAAAAAAAAAGACCCGATAAGTATAATATAGATCACTACCTACTCTCTACTACTTCTACTTTTCTTACTAAATAACTGACCAGAGATTGAGATACATCTTAACTCAGAGGATTCCTAAATTCTCAGGTGAGTAGCTGTGTCGTAGATATTTAAAAAAAAATATATTAAAATTATAATATTGTTACTTATTTTATTAATATATAACACAAGTAATTTGAAAATAACTGCAGTCAGACCCAAAGGTTTCGAACTGTCATGGAAAAACTAAGGCCGGGGGGCCCGAGGCGGCCCGTTCAAACCTTTTTAATCCGGCCCGCCAAACTTTTCCAAATTATATGATTTATTTATATTATCTTTATACTTCTGCCTTTTCCCTGCAATACCCATATTTCCCCAATAGGTGGTGTAGAAAAATGATAAAAGCATTTTAGCATCTTAGCCTTTTTGCATGGCTTTCACATGTCATTTATCTTACTTCACATGAATATTCCATCTATCTGCTCCTGACCCGGCCCCCCCCCCTGTTTAATTTTTAGGATCCTTGTGTCTCCCGCGAGTCAAAAAGTTTGCCCACGCCTGTGCTAGCAGCTAATAATGTTACGTAGACTGGTCACATCTGGTCAATAAATATTTTTCTTAAAAAAACCTCCAAAATTGAACTGGGGTATTTTGTTCTCTTTGTCCCTGTCTTTCACAGGGCATTGAGGAAACATTTGACCCAATCAGAGATGCGTCGCGCAGCTAGAAAACCTCATCTCCTCGTCCGGATAAAGCTGCCGCCACCACCTCGTTCCCTGGCCATGCCCCTGCTTCCTACCAGCACCAGCGAACCCATCGTCTTGGAGGACTGAGGAAAAGACGGTGTGATGTGGGGGGTGTGTGTGATAGGACAGAGGGTGGAGGTGGGTCTGTGCCCAGGCCGTGAATGACGGGCGGCACAGTCCACCATACCAGTAGTTTTTCATTTTCTTCTTTATAGTGTCATTTCTGTTCCTTTAGTACTCTGTTACTTCCCGAAAATTTGATGTGTTTCACATACACACACACACACAAAAACACACACACACACACACAAGCACTTAAATGACTGTACATTTTAAACATGAAAAAAAAAAAAAAAGCACCACCACACGGAAAAACCACCTTGGGGCTATGATGTATTTTAATCCAGATCTTGAATTATTTTTTTCGCTCCGGCCTCTTTTTAAAACACAGCCTATTTTTTAGATGTGTCATTTAAATCAAGATACTCTCCATTCTGAAACCGTGGTAATGAAGCACACAGTTCGTTCCTCCACATCGCCATCCTTGTGTAAGTGTACGTATCCCAGAATAAGGCGGCGCGCGGCGGCGAGGTGCGGTGCCGGTGACGTGTCATAGATACAGTACAGACGGCGCGTAGCCTGCGTTTTCCGCAGGGAGAAAATCTGACAGGCTGTGTGTCATAACTCTCGTTTACAGTCTGCAGGTCATCTACTCAGGAACCAAGGACATGATGAAGGACATGGACGTAGCTTAGATTTAGCAGTTCGAGTGGGCCACCTTCAGTCGTCACGTTTGATGCGTGTCAATAGTGCTTCTTCTGCGTAACGTTCACGCCTTTGTAAAGAAGTTTTTAAGTTTTACATGGTTCCTTCCGGGTCATTTAAATTATGTTATACGCTTGTGTAATTCCCGTCGTCTTTAGCTAGTAATAACTAGAACTCCAGTTCAGGCAACACACCTCCGGGCTTCAAACATGTTGACTTAGATGCACAACTGAAAAAAAAAAACCATGTCCGTTCCTTTTGCGCGGTCGTTGGTGTAGATGGTGTTCTCAAAGGACTGGGTCGTGACCCTCAGGTGGGTCGCAAGAGTTTTTTTTTTTTTTTTTTTGGGGCCCGTTTCGCCTCATTTTCCCAAAAGGTTTCCAAATA